TAATCAAGCACATATATATATATATATATATATATATATATATATATTTTACAAAATTGTAATATTACTGTCATAGCAACAAAATTAAATTTTGTCCATCAACTTGTTAAATAAAAATTGTTATAGATACCAATTTTCTGGTTTGATTGTTAATTTTTTTAGATTATGTTGTGTAAATTTAGACCGTTGATTATAGGATAAGATAAAATTAAAATAATAAGTTGAGGTATTGAGCCATTTTTTTTCATTAGGTAAAAGCCATATATTTATAGGAAGAATAACTTCTGTATAGAATAATTTTTTAAAAACAACAACAGACTATTTGATAATTCGACCTTTAGGGAGAATACTACAAAGAGAGAGTGTGTCATTAAATGTTTAACTCATAAGAAATTATAACTAAAAACTTAATTCAAATTCAAAAATCTTAAAGACAATATTGTTATAAATTCAATCCTTTTGGAATTAATTGGAGAACATAGACAATTAGAGAATGATTAAAAAAAATGTAGATTAAAAAATTGTTTAAAATATTAGAAAAAGTATTTGTAACAAAATAAAAGAACATCAATTAAATTTTTAGTAAAAAACTACATTATTAATTTGTGATTTCTGTCATGTTCAACTAATATTGGTAAGTGACACACTCAAATTTTTTAAATTAAACCCAAATCATAATACAATACATTTTGTTTTTTTATAACTAAATAATAAGACACTTAATATATATTTCTAAATATTATCCATTGAAGTTTAATATTAAAAAGAAATAAATATCTGATACACTTTAATTAACTTATGATTTTTACCTTTATGTTATAATTATTCTTGTTACTTTGCTATGAACTAGTAAAAGGTGATATTGGTAAATCAGCTAACAATGATGCTGGATCCAATATGTTAGCCATATGAGATTGTGATAATCGCTCTAATGATCGAACATCCATATCAACAGCCTCTAGTGCTCGTTCTAGTTCCTCTGTTTCTTCGCGAGAAGGTACATACTGTCCATTTTTATCAACTAAAAAAAATATATTTATATAAAGTATAAAATTAAAAACATAATATTCAAATATTTACCAGTAAAGAGATCGTTGAAAGCATCTACAGGTATTTGGCTAAAAACACTGGTTATATCATCATGGTCATCTAATAAACGTGATGCATGGCTTAATTCAGCAGCATCTAAGCCAGCAAGAACTTCATCACCAACTTCTTCATTAGCAATAATGTTACTTCCTACTAACGAAACATATTACGTACATTAAATATTTATATGAACTATTCAAGTTTGCTAAATTTTACCTGGATGGAGATACATATCAGGATTAGCAACGGATGTGTAGAGTGATGCAACGTCACAACCAACATTTTGTGTCAACTCATTAGTACAAGTTATTGGTTCAATAGTGGAGTTAGACTCTATTGTACCAGTATAAGGAGGGGGAGGGGTAGGAGTTTCAAGAGGATATTTAGGTGGCTGTTTTTTCTTTTTACTTCTTTTAGATAACTTATTAAATGGTGTATTTTTAGGTCTTTTTCGAGGTTTAGGTTTGATTGAAGGTGTTTCTTCAGTCTAGAAATAAGTTAAAACATTAGTTAATTTATTTTTATAGCTTTCAATACATAGTATTAATATATCTTTTAGTACTGCTATTATTTTTAAGGTACAGTTTGTAGAAATAATGCAACAAGTTTTAATGATATATGAGATTCCATCCCGAGATGGTAGAGTACAAGGACTATTAGTACATTGGTAATATGAAATTTACATTAATTTATTTACTTACTTGTACTGAAATTTTTGAATATAAATGCTCAAAACATAATGGTTGTACATTGCGTATATTAAATACTGTATTAGTACATGGGCCTTGATTTGTTCGAGCAGAACAATGTTCAAAAAGTAGTTGATCAACATTACGTAATATATGTTTGAAACAATGGCGCGTACAAGGTATAGCGGAATTGTGACATCTCTCCAAACAACATTTTTGTTGTTTCATAGTTACTCCATTGGTTCTATAAAAAATTTAATTTTGTTATAATAAATAATTAAGGGAAAACCTATTCTCTGTTATTATTATGA